ATGGCCACCCTTCATAACACACCATCAAACCATCTGTACACTTTTAAATTTCATTTCTGAAAACAATTATGTGAATCATGACACTGCATCATTTCAAGAAAGTTTAAAACAGCATAATCATAATGTTATTCTATGGAAAGAGTCCTGCCTTAAAAAACTCGACAAATTTCGGTATATCTTTAGCAGATTCCACTGAGTTCATTTTCTTCCCCTGCTTTTCAGAGAGGCTCTGCAAGATATCCTTTGCCCCTGCGTTGAAATAGTGAACCACGGTAAAGAAAACAAGATTATGCAACGATCATAAACAAAGAACTCATAAAAACCAAAACCTGCTACTAGCTAGCAAACGAACTGCAGAATTATTAATTATTATTATTATTATTATTATTCTTGTTATTTTGGATAGGCAATTGACAGTCAGTTTAAAACGAAGGCATCTCCTCTTGAAGTAAATCTAGTGTTGGTAGATTTACTATTAGTGTTAAGAGCCTAACAAGTTACAACCAACCTGTCCACATGGACAAAGACCCTGAGCAAACTGAAACTACAGTTGATAATATTGGATTGCTGAACTTATATTAAACGCATCTACAAAACAAACTTATTGGAGGATGAGGAAGGCAATATTACTGACAGGGAAGATGGAAGGTGATTGAGATCAATGGTTGTCTTAGTAGGTTGTTAGTGTAAGCTAGATGGCTTAACATGAGTTGATGGTTTTATGGTAGAAAGGAAGCCTACGCAGGTTTCTCATTTACTGCTTTTCACTTTGGAGGAAGAGGAGAGATTGCTTCTTGTTTAGGTCATTGATTCTAAAAAAGGAAGACCTATGCTTGCTCATCACAAATTGATCTTCTCGATGAAAAAGTTATGCTGAGAGCATAGACTGCTGCCCATTCACTTCTAAAATGTGTTTATTACACTACCACAAGTGTTAGGAGTAATGGGCGCTTGGCATACAGATTCCTACCTTTTGTGGATGGAGGTTTTTCTGGGGGTTGGTGGTAACAAGAAGGTAGTCCATTATTTGGAAATGTGCAGTCTTGGTGATAATTTAAATTGACTGGATGAAAAAGAAACGCAGAACACTTGAGGAACATATTCCTGGCATCTTTACAAGGTTCATAATCTAAGCATTTCAAGGGCACCTAGAGAGGAACATATTTTTGGCATCTTGACAGGGCTGATAGTATAAGTGTTTTAAGGGCACCATTTAGTCTAATTCATCTTGATTAGACACGAGGTAAAAACTAACTTTAATGTTTTTCCTGTAATTTTTCCTGTTCATGTATTAAGCTTTGAACACCTCATCTGTCTTTTCTCATATCTTTTCCTTTATGTTTTGTAAAATTAATGTTCTACAAAAACAAAAACACAGAACTGAAAATGAAAGGAAGGTATAGAAGGGCATCAGCATGATGATTTTTTATGGGTGATCTAATTCTGATAGATAATATCTTAAAATAAGAAACAACATTGCATCATCAATTTATTGAGTAATACAAGATAGCAATTGAAAGAAAGAGGAAGGTGCTTATAATATAATCTCTGCAACTTCTTTAGCTAAACATCTATTCATAAATGCAACTTAATACCTGTATCCAGGAGGCCAAGCCCTAGTTTTGACTGGTAAATGGCTCTCATTGACAAAACAATCTTTTCATCTATTAGTTCTTCCACAAGTCTCTTTGTCCTCCGATCAAATACCTGAATCAATAAACTGTTAATGGAAAAATAAAGTAGACCAGAATTATAGCTTGGAAACAAAGAAGATTGAATCACATCAGCTTCAATGAGATGCTCAGGGAGAAAAAAGAAAAAAATTAATAGGTTACATAGATACTATGATGCATACCAGTTAAGCTCGCCGGTACTATGATCAATTTGTTATTATATCATGAAAGACCTATATAGGGAAATTAAAAGCCTTGTATAGCTACATATAATATTCTGGGCCTCTCCACCCATAGCCAATTGGTTTTGGGTTGGACTTTCAAACAGGCTAAGTTGCAAACACAGGAAGTGATCCATATAACTTAGACTTCATAAATGATATCAAGGACATCTAACATGTACGTATAACACCTTACCACTAGAGGTCCCATTCTTGTGGTACGTTTGATCTCACTAAAACATTTCATTATAATACAAACAAGACTCAAGTACATTACACTCATGCAAATTATAAGTTTTTACATATCTGCGTCTCTTGTAACTTGTACATCATTTTAAACTTTCAATTCATCATTATGACTTAAAACATTGTTTCCAAACATACAGCATCAGGGGCAGAGCAGAAACTACATGAGAGAGAAAATGGGAACAGTATTGCAGCTAAAACACTTCATGCCTATTACAGAAAGGGGGTTCCCATTTCAAATGAGAAAAACCCATAAATTTTTTTTCTGCCACTAATCTTAGCTGATTTAAAAAGAAAAGGAAAGTATACCACAATATGGTGAGCACTCGAACCAGAATTTAAACCAACGTCATAAGATGAAACATGGGCCCATTCACTGAGTTTAAACATCCACCTACATATAAAATTTGATGTTACTATTCCCAGCATACCATAGATTGATAGTAATAACCACTGAACTGAAATGAACCGCAACAACAAGAATTGTCAACAATAAGAAGCCTGATGATATAACACAATTCTTACCCATAAGAAGCCTGTTTATCAGTCAAAAATCCTCCAGTCATGACCTGTTTTCCAGTTCCTTCATCGAAACATAGGGTCAAATGTATCATGTAGTTCAGCTTATCAGAAACTTCAAGAGTCTCACCACAAACAGGACAGCAATTCATTAGTGGTTCCCTGAAAAACAAAATAGTTCTGCTCATCTTTCCAAGAATGGGACCTAAAGGGAAATACATTCTATATTCAAACATGTTGCAATTATATCAAACTGAAAATCATCGTACAATCCAAAGAAATAAAATGAAATCCAAGCTCAGGTTTGGCATTAGAAAAAACAGTCGTGAAATGGTAAGAACCTGAATTGTGAGAACTATAACACTTCTTCCAATGTATATACCGGTGGGTTGAACTAATTTAATATAAATTTTCAGTAAATTTTCTCACTGGCCTAATAAGAATGTGCTGGTCGATGGTCTCAAGTTGTACTACATGAGAAACATTTGGTAACAAAATCAAATAAAACATTTTGCAAATATTTATAAATACAATCTATAACACAAAATGAACATATCTATAAAAAAAACAATAAATTCACATTTCTTACATAATAAGAATTTGCAACTGTATAGGCAAAGATGTTTTCTTTTTTCTTTTTTTTGGGTCTGATTATAGACATGGAGATCAAAATAGCAATATATACAGTGGTAAGTTCAAACTTTTTGGTCTAATATCTACATGTATCATTACTTTTCTTGTTGAATGGCAAGAAGGGCAGCCAACTCATCCATGCTAACAACACCATCCCCGTTCTTGTCAGCAGCTTTAAACATCTCCTCTTTCTATTAAGGAAGGAAGATATATTTCTGAGACAATGGAACCAAAAGGAAAACACAAAGCACAAACACACCAACAAAAAATATATATATATATCACAAAGGACTTCTGAAATTGGAGGAAGCCAACTCTATGGATTCCAATCCACAAACCCATACCAAATGTAATGTGGGTTTTGTGATTAATTGCTTATTTTGTGTGTATTGAGAATTTGAGATCAAATTTTTAAGAACACACCAACAGCCGCTTAGACTATAGGAGTTAGGCTCAGATGAGCCAAGACCTGTGAGAAAAAATTGAAAACGTGAATTAAGTGTGGTTTTACTGGGTTGACGATGAACTCATGTGAATTAAAATAGGTTCATTAAGTTCAAACCTTGTTGGCTGCCACTTGATTCCCGAAAGCATTAATTAAGTCAGAAAATTCAGAGAAGGAAAGCTTTCCATCTTCATTATAATCCTGTGTATATTACAAAGCCTCAGAATTGGGACATACCACTATAGATAAGAATTGGTACAACACTGAAGAACATATCTTTCCATATATGTAGGACATACCACTATAGATAAGATGCGCCGTGCAAAACTCTTTTCTGTTTCAATTGGATCCTGTCAATTTTTCCAATGAAGTGTTATTACTCCTAAATATAGACTTCGTTACTGAAGAAAATGAGGTTCATACATGGCTTACCTCAACAGAGCATGAAACATAAATTTTTCCAACAATTTTGTCTGATGTCGATGGATCTAACAGGTCCAATATCTCAGAATTGGAGTTGGAATCTGAATCCTGCAGCAGCAACAATTTATCCTCAGAAGAGAGAGCGATAACAAGAATCAGTAAAAAGATGAACATAAAAATCTGAAAACATAAGAATCAGTCAGTTAGCCAACTAATTCCATATTCAAAATGCGGTTATTCATAAATATTGAATGCTGCCAGCAGAAGGAAAAAAAAAACGCTGCAGAGTAAAACAAACTCAGAACTTGTAAACAAAAGAAATTTGGAAAAGGGCTCATACTCAATATATTGTTTCTCAGAAGTTCACCATGCAATTTCAGCATCTCCTTTTTGGTAATTTTTATGGTATTTACCTCACTGCAGAAACTTTTTCTCTTGGCATGCTTGGAACGTAAAAATTAAAAAAATCCTGAGATACTAGGAGCTAGAATATTGGCCCCAGGGTCCATGATTCATATCAATGGAAAATTGTAGTCAGAACAATTAAATTCTAGACATTTCCACGGAAAGACATATATGTTGATATGGAAAGCAAAATGAAAATATTATATGGCAGGGATGCAAAATCAAGTTGGCACTCAAACACAGCAAAAACCCCATACTACAATACATAGAAGGGGCCTGATAGGCACTCAAACATCTAACCAAACCACAGCAGAATAATATCTTAGCATCTACATTATAACAGCCACAACCATTTACCCAACACAGCTCTATCCTTTATTTTTATTTTTATGAGAGCTCTATTCCTCTTATTGAGTTACCAATGGCTTCCAATGACCTTTATTTGGCACTCACTCACCACCAACACCTCAGATTACAAGTCAACTATCTTGTTCACAATTCCAAGTACATTTTTTATTTGATGCGAAAAATTTGGCTTCCAAAATGATTATTTTACACACGAATTCACTGAAACTTTGACAACTTTTATGATTCTTTCACAAATTATGTCTCTTTTTTATTCTCAAAAAGTAAATAATAAGATAAAAGTGATTCCTCTCATTGAGCTACCGATGGCTACCACTCCCTTCACTATTGGTCTCTGAACAATATCCCAAATAATTGGGTGATCCTATCTTCCTTCATCACATCCTTCCCGCACAAAATCCTGTATCAACTTCTTAGTCCTCCTTGCAACCCTATTAGGCAATCTGAAAGATTGGAAGGACGCTACTCAGCAATATTCCCCCAAGGGAAGGCCAAAGTAATTCGAAGGGCAATTCTCTCCCTCACTTGCCACTCCTTGTTCAACAGACTCCCAAAGCCTATAATCCACCAGAAGTAGAAGCGAAAAGAACATTAATTAGCTTTCCAATTAGAATAATGTCAGATAAAGATATGTTCCTAAAATCAGGATATACAGAAACCTGAAGTGCTGCCCAAAACTTGACCATCTCCCACACCTCCTCCACTTCCATCCTCCAACATCTTCAAAGATCCACCAATTCCAAAGTAGTCAGATAATAGCCATCACCACCATACACCCCATATTCATTTAGCCTTTTTTCCACCGCCCAAAAGCCTATAACCCACATTGACAACAACTAGTACACTCTTGGCCATATTAATCTTCCGGTCTTGGACTAACACAGAAGATTGACAATCTGAACCAAATTGACGATTTCCCTGCCTCACTTATCAAGAAAAAAATAGTATCATCCTCACTTGTAGTTTTCATCATTATTCATACTATTTCCCACTAACCAGTCACTGAAATTTGAAAAGAAAGTATGTATAATTTTCCAATGCAAATTGAAGCAGTTCCTAAGCCTTTGGGCAAGCAATTAGTATATGGTGTATAGATTTAAACGAACTGTTGCAAAGGTGACAAGATGCATTCTCCCAGGAATGAATATGGAGTCTGTATACATTTGTACCAAGCTTCTTCTGAGTTACAAAAATACACAAGTTTCCAAAATCAACTCCATTGATTTTAATACCGCAAGGCGTAATTGTTGTAACACACAAACATTAATAAATAAATAAAAAGAAAAGAAAAACAGTGCATCGTTACTGGAGCTTGTGGAAAAGTGCAATTAGAGAGAGTTCCATGTAGTGGCACAATTTAAGAAGTTAAACATGTCAATACGAGAGAGAGAGAGAGAGAGAGAGAGAGAGAGAGAGAGTTGATTCAACAAAGAAGGTTGCTCACCCTGGTTAGAAATTCAAGCAGATCAATTTCACAATATCCTATCAGATTGTTTCTGGACATTTTATTCGTCTGCATTGTATGATAAATTGAATAAGTGAAAATATAAAAATTATACCTGAAGAACACATATACATTTTCAATTTGAATATACAACAGAACCGGGAAAGAAAACTTTGACATAGAGAAATCTCTTAAATATAGAGCATACAAGACTGTCGGATACAATAAAATTAGTGTATACAATAAGAAAAGGCCTTAAATTTGACATACATACAAAAAAAAAATTGAAAAAAGGGGTATGACTACATCTGAAGCAAAACATGAATTTATACTTATAAAAGGAAATAGAAGATAAAAAGGTCATTACATTCTGCAGGAAATAATTCATGGAACACCAGATATAAACATGATTACCATATAATCATCACTAAATTCATGTGTCTTTGTATGCATTCAGTTATTCATGTATATGTATAAACTTAAGATTCATTGCCAGCATTAATTTTGATTGCTTCATAAAAAAAAAAATCTACAGTTGTAGCTTTTGATCATATATATAAAAATCATGTTAGTGACTGCCATTAATACTATAATTCAAATATATATATATGGAAGAAAAAAATCTAAGAGAAGTGAAAATGAAGTATGTATCTATTTAACTCTGAGATCCAGAATATAATGGTAGAGACATGCAAAGGGGTATCTGAAGTGTATGCTGCGTATCCAGTTTACAGTTTCAGAAATTTGGAAAGTTATCCTAAATTATGGGAGTATATGGCACATTGCCCATGTGTATTTGGGAAGTTCCTAGAACATGATTAGCATATTTCTCCAATGTGTCAATGTGTGAGACTGCACTTTGCATACTAGCAGCTTTCTATATAAGAAACTTTGAATTTCCATTTCCTATATCTACAATACAAAAACATCCATACGAATCTATAAGTGAAAAAACATCCCAAATTCTATAAATTTATGCCATGCCAGCCACCACAGCCATCCCTAAATAAGGAGACCTACATATCCGTCCTTGTCACATGGTACCAAACTATTCCTATTTTCTCCCATGGAAGAACATACCTCTTTCAGGACACTACTAAATGGGGAGATTGTAAGTAAACGGAATGCAAAGCATACCTCATAAATGGATATCCTTGCAACATGAGGCCCATTTTTTTCCAAAAGAAGCTTCTTCTCCTGAAAGTCAAAGGGAAAAGTTTCAAAGGGTTATTTTCAGCTCAGTTGCGTGCTCGTACTAAGAAGCAAATGAGAGAGAGAGAGAGAGAGAGAGAGATGAGTTTTTCCACAATTTCAAAGACTGTAATGAAGGTTCCAGTACTTTATCACACTACCAAAGTGATCCAAAAAGCATACCTAATACTAACAAGTGTGTCAGCCCTAGCATAAAAGAAAAGCACTCAGCAAATTAATCTTAACTTCCCCTCAGCATCTCTGATGTGTGTGTGTGACAGATTATGTATATTTTGTACATCACAGAGAGATGGAGATCTAAAAACCAAAAATAGAAAATACAGGGAGATATACTGAGGTCTTTCACAGATGGCACTAAGTGAGATATATTAAGGTTTTGAAAAAAGGCCAAGCACTCATATGTTACCATAATAACATACAATATAGGGTTTCGGGTACTTACAGAGTTCCAAACAGGCTTGTCTGTTCTGCAACACCAGTAAAAAAAAAAATAATACAAATAAGCTGGTGTGTTCTGTAAAAAAAAAAAATATTACAAAAATGCAATATTATCTCATAGGGCAGACTTTGTGTAGCCTGCAGAGAAATGAATGTCTGACAAGCCCACTAAGGTGGAATTTTTTATGCTATGTAGTATCAATCGGTAAAATTTCTGATATACTGAGACAATGTGTTACAAAAATTTAAAACTCCTTATAATCCAAAATAAACAGGCATGCACATTTCTGTTCTAACAACATTGCTAATTAAATTTTTATGCAGTTATGCAATAATAGGAAATCCATTTCATAAATCGAAAAATCGTCTTAAAAGGATGAACGTTGAAAATTTGAAAATAACAATTTCTACAGTTGTGTGACCCTTCAACCAATTCACTTGGCCTTTTTAAGCCCTTTTCTTTTGAGGCACTTTAATTTTTTTGAGAGAATAAACAATTACATCCAAAGTTACTAAGGGGGCATTTGGTACCTGTTTCCTAAAAACAACTGTTCGTTTTACAAGATACAAAACAAACGGGAAACAAGTTTCTTTTTCGTGCTGGCCTGAAGATGAAAAACAAATTTGGTGTAGTGTTTTTAAAATTTTATTTATTACAAAAACAATTTTCAAGATACGGTATACAAAAAGCAGGTGCATTTTATATTGGTAAGCAGTTAAAGACAATATCTCGTATTTTAGAAGAATAGAAACAAAAATGATAATTAAAAACATAGGGTTCTGAATCGGAGAGGTCATTCCTCCTCTCCATAAAGAATTTCATTGCAAACAGCATTTTCATATCTATGGGCATACAAGATTTCGGTGGGATTTTACTGCAAAGCTGCAAACAATGTGACTGCATCAGACAAGGAATGTTGTGAACTAGAGGACAACTTCCTTAACCCTAGGAGTTCACATGACTATTGATGACGAGGATGTTGATTTCAATTTTCAGTGATCCTTAACATTAGAGTCTAAAGGAAAAGGACAATGGATGATCACTGCTTAAAGAAATGGGACAAGTAATTTCAGAAACTTGTAGTTTGTAATGAGACATGACTCAAAATGTAAAAAAGGGGGAAAGGGTTGCAGAAATAAGTAATTTCAGGCACTCGTAGTTCATTCTATTTTGGTGTTTCTATCTATCTATGTGCTCATTATACTATTTAGTTATTTTAAGAAAACAAATAAATGAATGAATGAATGAATGCACAGAGTAGTTGGCATTCAAAGATAAAGATTCGAAAAGGAGAAAAAGAAGCTTCACAACAAGGAGAAAAAAGAACAAAGAGACAAAGAGGCATTACTGATCGGAGATATTCGTACGGAAGGTCTGTTCTCCAAAAGATACACAGGCAAGCCACTTGTCCTTGAACTTCATTTCAGCCTACCCCAAACACAGAAAAACACCAAAAAAATTTTCCCTATTAATTTCACCCACTCCAAACACTGCAATGCTAATTCAATAAAACAAAAAACAAAGAACAAGAAACTTACTCGAACGAGTGTGAGCAAACCGATTCCGGCGAAATTTTCAGCATTAAGTCGTTTGCCATGAGACGGGGAATTTGAGCGACTGCGACGTCGTCGATGAAGGTGAAGTCGCTGCTTCAGCCGAGAGCGACGCGATCCTTTCGACTGTGACTCTGCAGCGCCGTTCTCTTCTTTCGAGCTTCCATGCCCCATTGCCTCTCTCTCTCTCTCTCTCTCTACCTACGGAGACTGTGATTCTCTCTCTAAACTGTTCTGCTTTTTGATTGGTAAGCAATTGGGGACTTGGGAGTATACTCTTCTCTTGTATCTTCTTTTATAGAAATGCCCAATACAGAAAGAAGGCAAATGTTTCTGGAATTTGAAGAATAAAGAAAAGTCAACTTCTACGACAACTCCAAAAAGAAAATATAATTACCTTTTGGATGATGGACTTGTCAGACCGCACTACTAGTGTACCATACAAAAAGCTTCTTTTATGCCGTAAAAAAAAGTGGAAAGCTTTTCTTGTAACAATTAGGATGGGCATTGTCCGGTTTGGTTCGCTTTATGCCAAACTTGGACCGAATCAAATAGAGTAACTGATGTGGTTCGGTTTTGATTTGGGTTTAGGGTCGGGCTGTGTCCTAAACCCTTTTGATTCAGTTCAGATTCAATATTACTTGTATAAATAAAATAATTGAAGAAATAACTCTAGTTCAATGGGCTAAATTTTAGCCCTAAATGCTAAAATAATCTTATAAAATTATATATTTAAAGAATATAGTATAACCATGTGTCTATACTCCATATATTAATATTTTAAAAGTATCATCGAGTAGTTATAATCAAATATTTTAAAAGTATAGCCATCCGGCTATACTGTTCAAATATATATATTTCTTTCTTTATGTATTTGAGTGCGATTGAGTAGTAGTTGTTGTGAGTTGAGTCTCTTTTCCTCTCCAATATATATTTCTCAGACTCTAACTCTAGAACAAACTAGGGAGGAGAGTTATACTTATTTGAGGGGTTTAAAAGAGTAAATATCGGCAAGAATTTTTTTAGGACATGGAAAATTAGATTCTAAAGGCATTCAAGCAATTTTATGCTCTGAAATTTAACATTCTTTGATCCACAAAATGTTGGTGAATCTCTATTTTTTGTTGTTGTATTTATGTATTATTTATTATAAATAAAATCAATTTTTTATTCTTACCCAATGGGCTAATAGCTAGAAATCATTAGAATGGGAGGTAATGGAAAAAATTTAAATTATCATTCCCCAATATTGCTTGTATAAATAAAATAATTGAAAAAATAACTCTAGCTCAAGTTAAAATAATCTGACAAAATTGTATATTTAAAGAGTATAGCCGCACAGCTACACTCTTTAAATATATTAATATTTTAATAGTATAGTCACGTGATTATAATCTTTAAATATATTTGAATATTATACTTTTAAAATATATATTACAACTTACTAACCTCATATATATATCTATGTATATGGTACAGGTAATCCCTAGGCCTCTTTATTTGGGTACTGCCAGGGGTTTTAAGTTGTAATGTTTTTTCAGCATAAAATAATAAATAGACCACCAATAAAACTACCAATGCAAGCTCTATCGATCAAAACCAACTAAGAGGATATTTTCATTTTTATTGATCATAACTTATGTGTCTCCATGTTCTGAAAACTGCGTCATACATCCATCCCTGAATCCATCCCTAGTTC